AGAAGAATGCCCCAGCCCTAGAAGAATAGCCCTGAAATGCCAAAATTCAGACTGAGCTCAGGTTGGTAAAGAAGGCTAAGATTAATGAAAAATAGGGTTTTACATATAGTAAGGGAAAGAAGTCAAAAAACAGATAGGACTATAGCTAAGGGTGAATGAAACAATATCAGATGACAAGGAGATACTAAGTTTTTACTTTTCTTCTGCTTTTTCTGCTAAGGAGAATGATATTTGGGTTGGAAAGGGCAGAACAAAAATGGATAATAGGGAGTTGAAACCTAAGATAATTAGGCATACAACAAAATATTCAGATGCCCCTGACGAGTTCAAGTCATACTACATTACACTCCAAGATACTCAAACAATTGGCAGATATAACTGTTATACCACAATCAGTGATCTTTGAAAGAAAAAAGAGCATGGAGCATGGGAGAGGGATTAGAGGACTAGAGAAAAGCATCTGCTATTCTGGTTTCCAAAAGGGGGAAGAAACGGAAGACTAAATTCAGCAGACTTAATTTAAGTTAGTGAGCCAAGATCCTGACAGGCTATAATTAAAGCTAATAAGATGACTTTCAAAAGAAATAAATAAATACAAAGTCTAATACTTGGGTTAAAAAAATCAACTTCATGAGTACAATATGGAGACGTGACCAGAAGGTTCATCTTAAGTCTGAGTGTTTCAGTGAACTCTAAGTCAATAGGAGCAAACGGTGAAATATGGCCTCCAAAAAAAGTGAATATTTTCCTAGGCTACATCGAGAGGCACAGTTTAATGTATTCATAGATGTGCTGGTAATGTTTAACAACAGGCTTTCTGGAAAAAATCTTTTTAATCTGCATAGACAATCAATAAAATAATAAAATCAAACCCTGATTCATAGCATTTGCCAATTTCTGATATATACATGTTCCCATGAAAAATTTAACAATCAGCTCAAGATGGTACAATCTGGTTCTAGCAAGCCACTGCATATATTATTATACTGGGGCCAGGAAGGAGAAAGTTCATTGTACTGCACCCTGAACAGACTACCCTTGAATATTATATTCAGTTCTGGGCATGATATTGGAAAAGACACCGATTAACTGGGAAGTAATCAAAGGGGGTAACCAGGTTGGTGAAGGGCATTCATCCTAATAAGGGCCCTCAAGTTTATAACATAAAAGGAGTAAATTGAAGTAACTCAGTATGTTAATCCTGGAAAAGAGAAGTCCTTAGGTGGAGACATGATTATTTCCCTCCAGTGTTTGAATGGTTGTCATGGACAAAAGGAAGTTAATTTATTCTGTGCAAACACAATTGTAAAGAGGTAGATTTCAGCACAACATAAGAATAAAATACCTAGCAATTAGAGCCATCTGAAAATAGAATGGGCTCAGAGGTAGCAAGTTCTCTAGCACTAGAAATCCTCAAGGATACGTCAGATGACCATTTTCTTTGTTTTTTGGTTTGTTTGGTTTTTTTTGGTGAGGCAATTGGGGTTAAGTGACTTGTCCAGGGTCACACAGCTAGTGTCAAGTGTCTGGTCTGAGACTGAATTTGAACTCAGGTCCTCCTGACTCCAGGGCCAGTGCTCTATCCACTGCGTCATCTAGCTGCCCCAAGATGACCACTTCTTGAGCATACTATAGAATAGATTCTTATTCATACACAAGTGAAACAAGATAGCCCCTAAAGTCCCTTCCAGCTCTGAAATTATATAATTTCCACAAGGTCACACAATTAAATAAGGACTCAAGGCAGGATTTTAACCCAGGATTCTCTTACCTCTAATACAGTTATCTTTCCACTACACCAATGAAACTTGGTTTTCTGTGGCACAGAGCAAATAGTATTGAACCAGAAATCAGGAGATCTAGACTTGAATTTCAGCTTTATGTGCCCTTTCCTCATGTCTTTAGCCTTCTTGGTCTCAGCTTTCTCATCTATAAAATGAGCAGGTATAAGTTCCCTTCCTTCAATAATGATTGATGATGACACAATTTCAAAATCCACAAATTAGCTACAAAATTATAAACAGCCCTATAACCCTGCATACCAGGGTCACTTGGGAGAATAACACAAATGAGTACTGCTATTGGCTGCCAACTCATCTCCAGCAGTCCTGACCAGAGCACCAATGACAATGGTATGATGGCCAATAAGGCGCCAAAAGAACTGAGACCCCGATCCAAGGCACATCTCCCTCCTTCCCCTAAGTAGTTTAGATGCTCTGAAATTCCTCAAGCTTCTTTCCCTCTTCATCTATAGTGGCTGATACTCAGGTTGGAGAGAAGAGCTTCAAGGAAATCTTGAATACAGGTTATTGAAATACAAGTTATTGAAATTGTAAGCTGGATTTACATTATGGAACCTAAATATGGAACCATATGGAACCTTAAGTATGCAAAGTTCCCCAAAATGCAAAGTGCCCAAAATCTCCCCCTAACGGTAATGTCAAAGAGGGGGATATTAATGATATTCAGGGGATGAGTTTAACTGAAGGCAGAGGGGGAAAGAGAGTTCCAGAAGCCTATGGATCACAAAAGCTTTATTTCTGAACAATATATGTTTTTGAAGTAGAAGCAAGTAGTAGGAAGAGGTTTCTCAATCAGTCAACAAAAACATGAGCTCCTACTATATGCCAGGCATTGTGCCAAGCGCTGGGGATAAACAGACAGAAATTAGTCTACCTTCAAGGAAATTTCACTCTAAAACGGGAGATAACACATATCTGTTGTCTCATGTACATGTATAGGAAAAAATACATGCAAAATAATGCAAAGTTCAGCAATTGTCTCTCCAAATGGCAGCAGGTAGAAAGAGTGGGTAGATAATGACCAAGATCACACTAACTGGGATTATCAATGTCTCCATTTGTGAAATACTGGTAAAGCAACTTTTGGGGGGGGGGGGGGGGGGATGGTTAGCCATGCTTCTCTTCGCATCTCCTACTCACAGCTTACTCCATGAGCAAGTCATGCAGTAACGGGACCCAGCCTAAAGCTAACAGCTACAAGCTCTAATGGACCTAGTGGTGGAGTGAGGACCCAGCCCAGCATGGTGGACGTGTGGTTTGCAACAGAAGAGGAACTAGTGATGAAGCTCATCTCTCCTTCTCCAAACAGCTCCAAACAACTCCAAAAGTCCGGGTGTTGTTTTGCCTTTCCTGGCCCTTAAACAGGGAACTGACCTTTACTCTGGATAGAAAAGACAACTAAGTAGCCAAAATCCTTTGCAGTCTTCCAAAGTTTGCTCCCTACCAGGTGGGCCAAATTCTCCCCTCTCTGGGATGACAGCAACAATGTGACTTCCTAAAAATAACATTAATAGTAACCACCACCTACCAGACCTGTGACAAGAAAACCCCACCCCTGGGGCAGACCCGTATATTCAAATCCAAAGACACCAAACAGAAGCAAGTTGAGTCAACATTCCACTGCTTCTTAGGACCACAGATATGTTTACTAAGTATGCTTTTTTCCCCTTGAGGGCAGTAGATTTCAATCACTAGTAGCTCATTTTGACATTTTAAAATAGGAACCACAAAAGAATAAACCACTCTCTACCCGAATGGTTTCTATTCCCCAAAGCCCATTGTTGGGCAAATGTGCCTGTTATAATACTGGGAGATCCAAACTAGGTGTGGGGGAAGGGAATTTACAAAATAAAAACATAAAATAAAATAAACTTGGCAATTATCTAATGACTTTGGGCAATATAGTCTACTGATATAGAATGTCAAGGTAAAAAAAAAAGTTTGTTCACATATCAATAAAGCTCAAAGCAAACTGGGTTTGTATTATTCAATTTATAGAGATAACCATAGCTCTATAGGCCTGGAATTAGAAGACTAAAAAATGTTCATGTCTTTTTTGTATTTACTTTTCCCATGTTTAATGCGTTCCACTCAAAATCCTCAAAAATTAATGTGTTCTCTGTCTTCCTTGTAAAATCATCATCTCATACCCTCAAATCCATCTTCTCTAAAGTCAATAAGCATTCCTTAAGATGCATCTATAAACAACAAAAGTAAATGAAAAGGGTTCCCTTTTTTCCCCCTTTTTAAAACTTTTACAGTGAAACTGCATATTTCAGTAATGAAACAGCTGGAAGGAATTTGGGTTAGAGAACATTGAGACATACCAAAAAAATCATTTTAAGCAACAATTTTTGTTTTGAATTTTGTTTTCCAATAAAGGATAAGCTTAAGCCACATTATCGTAGATTTGATTTTTTTTAATATTCTGGCAATAAACTATATATTAAATAGATAAAGTTGGATCTTTAAGACAAGTTGGCATCTAATGGAAAGAGCAGTTAAGAGCCAGAAAGCTTGGGTTCTACTCATTTAAACCTGTATGACTTGGTTTCAATAATGACTGCTCCTACCTTCCACCCACCCACCCTCACAGTCTTCCTATAAGACCAAAGTCAGGTGACATCACTAACACAATTTGGAAAAAGAAAGTCATATAAGAAAGAAAGATATTACACAGCTGAGGACAACACTCTAGGGTGAAGGCAAAAAACACTCTGTGTGTAAGGCACGTAATAAAATAGAATAAGCTTTGCTTTGAATAGATAATAAAAGCAAGAGTTGATAAGCCAAGGTAACTGACGTTTTAAATACCATCAGTCCTGGATTCCAGTTGGCTGTTGACCTGGTATTTTTTGTGATCTATATTTGTGGTACACGTGACTAGACTCAGATAAAAACTTGAATGTAAAACAATTTAAGGCTCTTCAAACCAAAACTGCTTGGTTTTACATGGGTTAATTTAACCATAAAAAATGATATGGATCTTAATTAAGAGGTTTATAAAATACTTAAGTTTGTCATATGTTTACATTTAAATGTAATTTCCTCCAAAAAAAAACTATTTGAGTATCAGCAAACTAAACTAAACTGTTGGTTTAGATTATTGTAACTACTAGATAAGATAAAAGCTGAGATAACATACTATAGAGAACCCTACTTTAGAAGAAAAGGTACTGTAGTCTTTTTATCACTCACCCCTGAGGCTGTGGTGTGTGTGGTAGGAGAAGTATTTTTGCTGCAGTCATCGGAGTTAGAAGATGTAGAAGTTGGAGTCATAGGAACTGCATTGTTACTGTTACCTGAAAAACATAATTAACACCATCACTATACATTTCTCCCTTTCTAAACTTTGGCAAAGACTTTGCAACCAAACACTCTATTTTCTTATATTTACCAGAGCATGCCTTTGACTTATTTATGTTCTTTGGTTTTCGCTTCCTGGTTTGAATTCCCTCTTTCTTCATAGCAAGTGGCCTGGGGACCTGGGAAAAAAATTTCCACACATAACCATAAAGTTTAGTAAATACTTCATTGAGCAGAAATCAAACTGTAGCTGCAACTGACTTCTGCAGACAGATCGGGTAAAAGAACACCTATAAAAATTCAGTCCTACCAGTCTTGCAATAGAATTTCATGTGTGCAAAGCCAGCATCACTTGCCCTTCTCCATCTCAATATTATATAGAATCCTTTCATTAAAAAAAGTAATGAGCTGCTAAACAGAACACCTCTACTACTTCACTTTAGTGTATATGGTGTGTGTGTGTGTGTGTGTGTGTGTGTGTGTAATTTCAATTAGCCCACTTATTGGGAGGAAAAAGCAAGAGATTAAATTTTTCATTATAAAGAAAAACTGGAGGCACAATTTGAGGTATCTATGGTGGTTTTGATAACTTTTACATAGTTAATCTATTTCCACACTCCATTTTAAGATAAAGAAGCTCCATGTTAATGAATCCTTTCATTATAAAAAAAAAGGAATGATTTGCTAACAGAACATTTTTATTTCTTCCCTTTAGCTTATTTTTTTTCCAATCACCCACTTATGTGGGGGGAGAGGGGGAAAGGCAATAGATTAAATTTTTCATTCTAGAGAAAAACTGTAAATCCAATTTATAATTTCAATAACTTTTACATACTTATTACTATATCCCACACCTTTCCCCCATTTAAAAACAAAGAAGCTCTACGTATGATGATATTTTATGCCATGTTTCAAAATGAAAATGTCTAGAATTGGCAACAAAAACACCACTACCTTGTACCTATTTAGCATACACACAAAGTAAGACTAAAAAGCTATATTGATCTTCTCACATTCATAATAGGTCAGTCTGTGTGATTTTGTTAGAGCTTTTTTGTTCGTTTGCTTGCTTGCTTGCTTGTTATTCCTGCTTTTCTTTACATTTGTGAAAGCGGTCTGACATTTTTATCGAACACAATATCCTGAATACTTCTCGTCTTTTTCTTTTCTTTTTTTTTTAACGCTTCAGTTCATTGAGCATGTACTAATCCTACCAGAGCCACACTGCATGTTTGATGACGTAAAACCACATTCAATTGCATCAATGATGTAAAACCACATTAAACAGCATACCCCATGAAGTTTCATGTAGAGCCCACATGCATTGCAAACAGGTTCACCCTCTGCATTTCTACGCCACAGGGTGGTGGTTGTGGTGTGACAGTTGGCACAGGATAAACCAAGCCGCCGTGTTGAAGGCTAGAAACAAGAACAAATAAATCAAACTTTGGGAGAAATATCCATCCACTTGTGTCCTTTAATGTTTGTCGTCCCCAATACTGGCAAATTACATCATTTGGTTTTTGTGAGAACTAAAATAGCAGGGAAAGAGAAATGCAAAAAGCAGGAAATAAAATTAATCAACTACAATTCTTCCTGGATCAAGACTACATGCTGGAGGCTTATGTAGTATGATTTATCTCACAAAGCTGATAAGCAGATTTGCTATGGTGTATTACTGTTTTATAAAATAGCCGTTGATAAGTATCCATGCAATATTGAGGTAATTGGTTCTGGCTGAAAGCTAGTAGAAGCACCACTGCCTTGAGAATATGTTTGAAACAGTTTTTTCTCAACAGAACTTGGAAGCACTTCCTAGCCATTGATATTGGAGGGTTTTGCTTTTGTTTTTGTTTAAATGGAACAGTCAAGTCTGCCGTTTAAAAGGTTACCAAGAACATTTTCTATTCCAAACTTACAACTGGCTATCACTGGGTAAGGCACAATGTGACCATCCTTCCTATTGTGATAGTCAATAGTCAATCATTATATCTAGGTGAGGTGTTGGGAAACCCAATCTCCGAGGAGCCACTATTTGCTGGATTGCTTTAGGCTGAGGCCCTTTGAACTTTTCATCTCCATTTTCTCAAATGCAAAAAAAATTAAAGTAATTATGATATTTTTTCTGAAAGGAGCAAACTGATGACTGACAAAAGGAATGTGGGAGCAAGGAGGGAAGGAACAGGGAGAGAGCTATATTATCGCTATATATGTTGGTCTTAAATGACCTAGGAAAATTTCTACAAAATAGAGCAAAAGACAAGAGTATGCCATATGCCCTATATTCAACTGTTATCTTAATTATTACCCATCTAATTTTGTTGTTCTTCTGATGATTAGAGAAAGAATGTAGACATTTTCATTGTTTTAACACTAGTGGCTAACATTGTCTTATTTGCCCAGATAGAAATGAAGATCACTCATCCTGATTTATATTGACATTCACTGCGGAGGTAAAGTAATAAATGCACTTTGTGTAAAGATATTATATAGATTCACCTAGGTGGGACTTCAGAACTGGTCTCCCCACTTTGTTCATCACATCATTAAGAGGAATTGGTTTTACCCAGGTTCTCAGTCGTTTAATTCTCAAATTAAAATGGACGAGCCTTGAAGCTATTAAAATATCTAAACTTTTAAAATAATTAGATCCCTAACACTAAAAATTTGGTTTCAAATTATTTTCCAAGTGGAATCTATCTAGCTGTCCAAAAATATAAATTACTTAATTGAAAATAAAGGTGGTGGGAAACTAAAGGATAGAATTATTTTAATATCCTAAAAAACTATGTATGGTAAAGGAATAAAACTTAGCTATGCAAATTAAATTAGAAAAAGTCATTGTGAAAATGTGGAGAGTACCTCATAAAATGCAACAAATCTGCCAACAAAATGGTAAAACTCTTTGGGAGGTTATCAGAACCAGGAAGCCTAAATCTTCAGAGATAGTCTGAGGTAGCGGAAAGAATAATCTGTAGTAAGGAGACGTGGTTCCCTATCTCAGCTCTGTAACCCTGGGCAGGTCACTTACCTCTCTGATCCTTAGTTTCCTCATCTATAAAATGAGAAATGTTAAATAGCAGAGCTACAACCAACCTCATAACGTTATTGTGAGGAAAGTAGTTGAAGTTCTGTAAATGTGGGATATTATAATCATCATTATTAGATATAAACATTTAATTCGGAGGGACTACAAAAGATTTCATCTCTTTATGTACCCTGAGAATGCAAGTAGTCACAGAACAATGAGCCAGACTGATACTAGAGTAATTTTTGCAAAACCCCAAAATGCAAAGTAAAATGGGTATCATGTATATGATGTTCTGCCTCTATTAGAGTTCTTTCAAGATTTGATATAAAGAAAAAAATAAATAAACCTATGCCACTGGTAGACCTTTCAAGCAGTGCCTTGAACTGAAAATTAAACTCCACATTAAGAGTCAGTTTGACTTTCATAGGTTAAAATTTATGAGGCTGGCTCATCTAATGTATATTTGGAGAGATATTTGATATGATGATAAAAATAAGCACGTGAGAGAAACTGAGGGAGCTAAGATGGGACCAGCTCACTACTTGTCTTCCCTCCACCTCCAAAAAAAATGAGGGAAAAGGGGTTGAGAGGGATAATTGCTTCCTCTTTAGGAATATATGAAGTCAGTAAATTAGTGACAGCAAGGTCCATTTTGTAAACAAGTCATTTATGAGTTTTCAGTGGAATTTGAAGTCAATGTGAAACAATCCTGTATCAGAAATTGCCACTATTACAAAGAACTTTATGACTGTCGACCATATATCATAAGTCAAGCCAGTCCTCATAAACATGTGAAATGAAGGTGAATAGGTTATAAAAGTCTCTTGTAACAAGTGATCTCTGTTACATTCATCACTAACAAGGAATTCAAGTTACACCATAAATCTGTTATTTTGCAATGTCAAATTCACTGTGATTGGTTATGTACTGCAGGTTAAACAAACTTAAGTATAGCACTGAGTTTCTAAGAAGTATCCTCTAACCATTATGACCATAAATAAGGAGTCCACAATGACTACTAATTGTTCGTGACACACCCTCTTATTGGTTCCATTTATTGCCTATTTGCTAGTTATATTGGCTGACCTTGGTTTCCACTAAGACACCTGTTACATTGAAAGAAAACAAGTCAGCTCTGGGATTTTTTTGTTTCTATGTTTTCTTCTTAATTCTTGCCCCTGCATTTCTTTATTGGCTAAAAGCAATCTTAGCTGTAGGCACAAGTACACAAAACTTGTATAACAAATGATATTATCAAAACCTGAATCTGCCTCTTGAATAGATCAAATTTATTTGTCAGCCAAATTTGGGACCTAAATTGGAGAAAATGTTACCCTCCAGAGCTCAGCAAGTATTGTACTCAATGTGGCTTTTCAGAACCATAAATGTAGTTTCGTTGTTTTCATCCATTAACTAAAATGTGGAAACATTGAAACTTCCTTGTAACATTTTTCAGAGAGACATACATATATTATATATAGTTATACATAACATGTTATTGCAACATCCATGCTCCCCACCCCATATCCTTGTGCTTATTTATTGGGTTCTTAGAAGAGTGCCATTTGGGGGAAGCAATAAATTGTAGGAGGTTTAAATTGTAGGAGGTTATAATTAAGTTTAACCGTATACATTCACACTCATTAAATTCACCTTAGCCACTTTATTTTAAATACACTAGAAAAAAACTCATAAAACTAATTGCCTCCCTATAAGGTGACAGACTTCCATTGTGATGCAATTTCAATCTAATCTATTTAGCACAATAAAGTGTTGCATTTGCTCCTGCTAATTAGAATATAACAAATAAATTAGCTACAAAGTTAAGAAATCTAGCATCCTACAGCAAAATGTTTTACTTTAAAATGCATTAGGGACTAGGGCATTTCTCTAAAATAAATGTTATCCCGTCGGTTTACTAGAACTGTCTGTAATGTGTTTTCTCCAGTAAATACAGCAGTAATAATCTTCTCTCACCAAGAGACTCAACACACAGAGGTGAAATTGATCCCTGAAGAAAAATCCGGAGCTTTTCAGCATCATAAACTTGAAAGACTTCTTGTAATTTCTAGGTTTCAAAGACCTCAGCTAAAAGCAATTCAAAAATGGTAGCAAACTAACCTAAATTTGCCAAAAATCCAACACTCTCCCCCTCCACCCCAAAAATAAAGAATGCACAGTATTTGACTCATCAAAGCTGGAGATGTTTAATTCTAAGTGAAATTAAGAAGCTAGAAAGGATCTGTCTCTTGGACCCAAAAGCAAGCTGGCCTAAGAGATAATTCACAATGGAATCTACATGGGGAATCACCTCAAACCTCTTTCCTTCCTCCTTGAATCCAGGATAACCCAGGAGCCCCAGCCCCACACAGCCCCAGGAGGAATTAAACAGCTTTCTAGATCTGTCCTATCTCCCTTACTCCTTAACAAGTCCGTGAGAACTGTCTGGCTATGTCCAACCGAAGGACTCCCCTCTATCCCCATCTCATGATGCTACCCAAGGGGCTACAAATTCTGGGACATCCACAGCCAAGTGAAAAGGTTGAATTCAACCCCATATGGATTCAGTCATCCGTAGACGGCTCTGTGCGTGCTCCCACTTACCACTCTTTTCTGGGGTTTGATGAGGGGTCGACTGAGCCCATTCATTTTGCTGTAGAGCCCGCAGGCATTGCATAGGTAGTGGCCTGTCCCATCCCTTCTCCACAGGGGCGTCTGGATAGAACCGCAGTTGACACATTCTCGACTGTCCGACAAATCCTCCAGCAGTTCTGGAGGGGGGCCCGAGAGGGAACAAGAAAGAAGACAAGGGTTGAAATAAACATCTAGAGACTGAGAAGCTAACACTGACTTGATGAAGAACTTGAAAGAAAAACTTAACCTCCCTGAACCTTGGATTCCACATCTATAAATGAAGTGGGCTAAACTAGTAGGGACCTCTAAGTTTTCAGCTGAACTAATAGTGACCTCTAAGTTTCCAGCTCTACATCTGTGATCCTATGATGGAGCCTATTAAAGGCCTAGGGTGACAATTGCGGCCCTTATTTGCTTTTCTCCCAATAACCTGGAAATTAAGTGGTTCTCTCTACTAAACCAATGGAGTTGTAACGAAGTTACCTTGCTCCTTCTGAAATTTGAATGCAATCTTTCTCTCCACTTCCCCCTTTTCTTAACAATCCAACTCCAATCCAGGAATGATTCAGGGTTTACTCTAAAGAAGACCTTCTAGAATTGTCCCATTTTCTTGGCACTTCCCCATTCCAGTGGGGGACAGAGAGCAACCTCAAAGCCAGGAAGACCCAAGTTTAAGTCTCAATTCTGACAAATTTTGGTCATGTGAACCTGAGCAGTGTGAACCTCTCAGCACTCAAGGCTAGGGACCTCAAATACCTAGCCTACCTACAGTTTAGTCTTGGCCTGAACCAAGACTAAAATATAATTGGGAAATATTTAACAAAATAAATAAAAATGCAATATAATATTACTCTCCACAAAGGGATCCTTAGGTACAGCGAGGCTTCTATGAGTTTGACCCCTCTGCTCTAGTTAATTCTCTAAGACTATAAATTGTCAAAGGAAGTACCAATCTTCACTAGAAGAGTGAGTTTCCTCACCTGGGAGTTCTCTAAACTGGTCAAATTTAAGGTCTGGTCCCCATCCTTACTGCCCAATGCTATCTATTCTCGGGCATCTTATTCTATAAGTTTGGTGGAGCCACACCGTTCTGGCATTTGACTAAGTTACATGGGGGTGAGGGGCACTGTCAATGAACTTTTGGTCTCGTAACCACTCTGGAAACTGCACAAAGAGAGGCTGATACTATTATATAGCTTTCAATTTAAAGGGGGAAAGAATTGGATTTGGGGTTTGTTTTTTTTTTGCATACTTTTGTTGAAAGAGGGAGATTCCAAAGAAAAGAAGGTTCTTTGGTTGAAGAACTTGTTACGTGTATTCTTAATATCATTGATACCAATATTCCCCCTCCTCTCTATGCCATTCTAGTTCTCTCCAAATTTATACTGAACGCTTTCAGGAATGAAGCCTGCACAGTTACAATGAGATTATTTGCCAAACCAAGAAGAGGTCATTAAACATTAACACAGATCTGTTCACCACCACTCCCAAAACCTGGGAAAAATGCATTAAATAGAAGCAGTATGGCATTTTATCTTTTCCTAATTTTACCTTAGACGTTTTTGAAGCGTAACACAATGGTTTAAAAAAAATGTTTCTACTACTGCCTCTTCTCAACAATTCAGTAAAAGACTGCTGAAATGGGAATTATTTGTAGAGAACTTTTTCTCCTACTCAAATGGGATTTTTTCTCTCTAAATTGTGGTCATGCTTCTAGAAACTTCATCAATTAATTAGAAAAATAATCAATTTCCTTTAGGGAAAAAAAGTTATCAACCAAATAAACATTTATGGGGCAAGATTTGCTTAAGAGAAAACACCTTACTTGAAAACATTTCTTTCTCCTATAAAACAATCATTTTAAAGAGTGCCTAGAGTGGGAGGTATGTACAGCTGCCTCTAACCTCTTTTGTCATTGTAACATTAACACTTTGTTCCCCTTTCAAAACTACTATATCTGACAGCATTAAATAACCCTCCACCACCCCCCAACCCATATTCTGTGCCTTTCTTTCATTTTAATTTGCCGGGTAAATCTAACCTCACCCAGACTAAAATTTCGATCTATTAAAAATGTGCTTGAAATCCCAATTCACAGATCTGCCTATTTTGTTGACTCACAGTTAAAATAAACCTGCTAATAAAAATCACTAATTAAGAGCAAATAGTTGTAACATTTTATTACTCTCCCCCACATACAAACAACTGAATGTGAGCAAATGGATAAACAGATTCTTCTCAGAGGAAGACTTTACCTAGAAGTTGTAGCCCGATCTTTGTAACTATTTTTATCATTAAGATTCTTTAAATTACAGATAATACATTTTCTATATTTATCCCTTTCTGGAAATTTCTGGACTGTTTCTTTATACTTTATAAAATTATCCCTCGATCAATTTCCCTCTTATTGCTTGTTATCTAACAAGAACAAGTACTATATTTACTGACCGCTCATTGTAAGGATAGTTAAATGAGCTTAGGGTTTTCAATTAATAACTGCACTATTTCATCTACAAAAACACGTTAATAAAAGATTCTTTTTCCATCTTTCCGAAATGAACTAAATATCCTGTAGAACAGAGAATACAAGGTTTTCACTGGCAAACTAACAAACACAATACACGTGAGGTTTTGTTCTCTCCACTAAAAGCTACCATTGAATTCTGTAATCAGTAAAAATGCTTAGTACTTCAAGGACACTGAAGTTAAACAGTTATTTGTCTTGGTTGTTGACTTTAAAATGTTACCTTTCAGAGTACCTATTAGAGGGAGTATTTCACTTTGCCTCGAAAATTCTCTCTCCTCTCTCCCTATGTTTTTTTTTTTTGCACTGTTTATATTACATGTCATTTTGAAATTGCAGAAAGTAGGAATGTAGCCTCCTAAAGAGAATACAAATATTAATTAATGCCCCAAATCTGACTGGGAAATTAATGTGAATTTCATTCTTTTTTTTGTTGTTGTTGTTAGATTCAAAAGGAAAACCAAGCACCCGTTTTACATGTTTGTTTTGCTGTTTGGTTGGTTAGAGGTTTTTTCCCATTTATTATTTGGCTTAGATGCATCTACAAATCTAAACTCTATTTTTGATTTTTTTATTTAAAACGGGAGGGAGGACTCCAGATAGCATTGGCAGCTTCATTCATTTGTTTTAGAACCCAACCTTTGCATAAATCAGTCTCTATCACTCCTCTTCCCCAAGCTTAGAGCCCACACAGTAATGGCTTAAGACAAAGCAGCAGAAACCACTCCAGGTCTCGGGTCCCTTCGGTTTCTTTCAGGCTGTGTTCACTAAACTGTGATCACTAGCTACACACGGTGTTCACCACAAGGGAATCATTATGTAAAAGGACATGAGATTAGAATGAATCTTGGCAGATTCGGCAAATTGAAAGACGGAGGGATCTGAACGAAGTCCTCTACGTATTACCTCACAGGAAACCCCAGAGCTAGGGATGAGGAACATGCGTTAGATTCCAAAAGTCTAAATTGCACAGCTTGAAAGAAAGATTTTCGTTTGTGCTTTAGTTGTTTGAATTGCACGAGTATACTATATCTGTCAAAGGGAGTGGGAGAGGATGGGCTGTGAGAAGAATAGATGTGGAAAACTAGCTAAGAACTGAGTGTAACACTGACATTCCCAGCCCTGGCCCCTCAAACACATTTCTTATCAAGACACCTGCAATTTGGGGAGCAAAGAACAGTGATATTTAGTTTCTGCTTCCTTCTACGCAGGGAATTCTCTCTACTTTACTTCTCCAAATTGCCGAAAACTTCCCTAACCCTTATTCTTAATAAACTTTTCTACTTTCAATACTCAATCTACTTTCAACACTCAATTTAAAAAATATATATTTTGTCCACAAATGTATTTGGTCACATTTGAATAATAAGACCTAAAGGGAAAATAAGAGGTGTGGATAGGTGAAAAGAGTAAGTTTGAAACAGATGTGTTAACTGAAATATTTAAAATTAGAAGCCACCATACCTCTTCCACAGATATTGTAGGAATTCTTTGATTTAAAATAATTTGCTTATTCAAAGATTTCTTTAGTGTTTTTTAGAAAAATATTTTCATACACACTATCCTATCAAATACCAGAATAATTTGAAAAAGAGGAGAGATAAAGGAGCACTGTGTGTCCTTAGCTGCTAAATGTTGATCTACAAATATATTCCTTTCACTGTTTTCTGGTCTTCCTCTAATACAAGCATACCTCCACCATCTCCTTTTTAAAAAAAAAAAAAAAAGGCCCCATATCCTCATTCCTAGAAGCAAATAGGATTTGTTACCATACACACTAGGAACCGCCAATTCATCTTAAGTGGGGGAGGGGAAGGCAAAATTGTGTGGCTAGTTAGTGCCATGCAAAACACATGTAATCACACACAGATACTTTTATGTAGGTGATTTTCAAAATATTAACATTAAACGATAGCTGGGGGGAGGGGAAGTTACCAAAAGAGCAAATTAAAGTGTGAGAGGTGGCAGGGAGCGAGGCAGTGCTAACTGTCTCCATATTTACCTGCTCCAAATAAAATAAGAAAATTGATTTTGGCCTGGGACTACTGGAACTAGTGTTTTTACTTCATAGACACACCACCCACTGAGGTACCTCAACCCATACCTGCAGTGACCTCTAAAGGGATGGGGGCTTGGTAGGCCAGAATTTGTCTGTCTCATAGCTCTGCTTGTTTTCACACATCAACTTTTAGCACCTGGACCCAAGAAAGTATTTGGAGAAGGCTAAGAAGCTGTATAGATGAATGAGAGTGTGACACTAGTTGGTATCTTCTCTGGCATCACTACTGTTATCCGTGCCTTCTTCAAAAGAGAAAATATATTCCATTGAATCTGTCAGATTATCAAACATTAGATCAGAAATAAGATGAAAAGTGTTCCTGAGAGGACTGAGAAAGGCTTAAGTAGAGATGAAAAATAAATGAGATTGTTGCAGTTTAGGTGTCCTAGTAATTACTGTACCGATCAATTACCCTAAATGTTTAGGAAGGATATGTGAACTGAAAAATGTCCAGTTTGGACTGAAATGGAGGTGCCCTTCTGCATCTTTCCATGAGCCTGATAGATTTGCCCAAATGGCACCCCCAGGCACACAAACTTGGCCTGTTGGTGAGTATGAACATTGGAAATCACAATAGGCCTGGCAGATTTCAGCTACCAAGGCCCAGCACCTATGCCAGCAGGACAGTCTCCCTCAAAAATGGCAAGTCATTGATATAGGATTTCAGGGAATAATCACCCAAGTTGCCAACTCTGCAGTATGAAAATGGCACCCATAATCCAAGACAAGACTAAGTAACTCTGCTCCTCTGCCCTATCTTCAAGAAACTCAGGGAGAAGACAAGTTACATTCAATCCCTTACTGCTGTGTGGTCCCTTAAAATATTTTTTAAAAGAAAAGAAAATCCCTTAGGCAGGAATGAAAATTGAGTTGTTTGTGGGAATTGGAAGGAGGTGAGGATAATTAAAATTCCCAAGCCCTCCTAAATCCCTCAAGGTCCAGTCAATCAAAAATCTCATCCCCACTGTTCATCTCCAACTTTCATAGCAAACACCTAAATGTTGGTAAGAGGGTAAGAGAATTTTAGGGAAAAAGTTTGTCTGTCAAGGCCTGTTCCTTCCAAGAACCAAAATAGATTAACGCTCTCCCCCTTTCCCCAAGTCACATAACACCCTGCCCCTCTACGTATAAAATCCTAGACATTTGGATACAAAGCAAAATTAAAACTTCCCTTTTTAATTAACTACATCAATGCCCCCAGATTAGTATAACTTAGCTGAGCACCCTCGAATGAACACACACACACACACACACACACACACACACACACACACACACACACCCTGAACTGACTGAAAAAGAGAGAGTACCTACATTTTAAAAAGAGCCCATAGCCCCAGCCTTTAAACTGAAGATACCAAGTCAAACTTGGGACTTCCCACTTCTGACAATCTCTACCACCCCGACCCCCTTTCAGCTCACTATGTTGGCTTCTTCTCCCTTCTCCCTCTATCCTCCACTTATCCAACTGGCTGGCTTCCTTCTTACCCTCACCCCTGCCCCAGCCTTTGGGGTGCTTCACCGACTTTACCTGCACTTGGGCCCCGGGGCACTGTGAGCGGAGGCCCTGATCGGCTCTGAAGGCTATGCAGAACGGAGTTCTCGAAGGGACCAGCGGGCCAGGCAGTCGTCAGCGGCGCTCCCACGTAGGGCGAGTAGGGGCCGGGGTGGTGGTGATGATGGTGGTGATGGTGGTAAGATCCATTCAGGGGCCGAGGCCCAGCCAGCGGACTGTACTGGTGCTCCCGACTGCCCATGGCTCCAAGGCTCCCGCTGCTGCCTCCCCCGCCACTGCTGCTGCCTGCGCTGCTCCCGCTGGCCCCGTAGCCGCTGGATTCCCGTGGCGCGCCGTTGGGCATTGGAGGGCTAGGCGAATAAGGGAAGCGGGCAGAAGTATGCGAACCACCGCTGCTCGCGTTGCCTCCGCCGCTGCTGCTGCCACCTCCACTGCCATACGGGGGGCTGTCGGCTGAAGGCTGGGGCCAGCCGGGATGCCCGCCGCCAGGGTGATTAGGAGGCCCGCTGGCAGCGCCTTGTAAGTAAGGCAAGCCGGGAAGCATGGAGCCCACGCGGGTGGTGGGCACATACACTGGAGAACTGGCGGCGGCTGCAGCCGCCGCTGCGGCCGCGGCAGCAGAGTGCACGAAGCCGCCGGCCGCGCCGTCGTAAGCCGCTGGTCCCTGGGAGGAGAGGGCCGCGAGGGTCTGGTACATCTCCTCGGGCTGCTCCGCAGCTGCGAAAGGGCTCAGTTTGCTGCCGCGACTGGACCAGAGCAGCTTGCTAGCGGTCGCGGCCTGGTCGAGGTCAGTGAAGAGCAGTAGATCCTCCCAGCCCGACAGGGCGCTCCCCTGGCTTCCGACCCCGGGTGCCGAAGGGCCGTGGGGGGGCCCGAAGTGGTGTGGGGCGTAAGAGCTGAGCAACAACGATCGAGCCGGGGTCCCAGCCCCGTCCGAGTCTAGCTGGGGCGTCCTGCAGGAACCAGTGCCTCCGGGGCCCCGCTCGCCCCCCCGGGAGCAGCAAGAGGAGGAAGAAGAGGAGAGAGGGGAAGGTGGGGAAGAAGGCTCCCTCCCTGGGAAGGGACAAGAGTCGCTGGCGTCTGAAGCCCCGGCCCCGCACCGCTTCAACAGGCACCAATTACCGTCAGTCAAGGCCATCCAAGGTCCGGCGCCGCACCTAGCAGCTCCGCTAGCTCCTGGAGGAAGGGAGGGCGGGGATGGAAACCAGGGAGAGAGAGACACCGAGAGAAATAATTAAATAAGAAAATGAGGGAGCGCTCTAAACCTCTCTCTTTTTTAAACAGTCCCCCTACTTTGGGGGAGTGAGGGGGGAAACGACTGGGGGATAACAGAAAGGCTTGGACTGGAGCATCATCAATCTACTGTACACTCGCACCCCGTACACCCTAATTCCTCTTTTCCACCGCAACCCCAGCCTCCCTCACCGCGCCTCTTTCCCTCACCCTCTTCAGCATCCTTTGCTGGGGTCAATACAAGCCCTAGAGAGTCCCTGACACAGTCCAATCAAGTAAAATTTCACTTAGGCGGCTTTTCTGGCTGGGAGTTAATTCCCCTTGGGGAAGGGAATCAGGAAAACAAAAGGCTTTTTTTTTTAAGAGAATGCGTATGAGTGCGTGCACTCGGGGGTCCCCAGTGCCTCTCTTTTCTCCCTATCTTCGCCCTGGGTGACTGTGTCTAAGCTTTCCCCGGGTAAAAACTAGCAGAAGCCCTAGAAAAGCAACCTGTCCCTGAAAACGAAACCGCGGACTTTCTCCCCAGCTGGATCTCTCCTAGAGTTTTCCTAGCTGCCTTGGAGGGAAGGAGGAGGGTGGGGAAGAGGGAGGGGTCGAGGGGGAAAGAAAAGAGAGAGAGATCCCGAGATGAGCACCAGTGGTGAGAGGACGTAAGAGGCTGGGAGGCGGGGGCGAAGGGGAGCCTAAGCCGAGCCAACTACCTTCTGGTGAGAGGCTGTGCCAGGCCACGCCATCAGCTGTGGGCCTCAGGAGTTACAAGGATCGAGACCCAAGCCCAAACCTTGTTCATCAGTCGCCGCTGCAGCTGCCATTGCACACCTTAGAAATGGCACAGTTCCACGATCAACAAGCCCTGCGGTACTGACCGCACTCGCGCGCGCGCGTATACACACACACACACACACACACACACACACACACGAGCACTCATACAGGATTTGTAGTCCTGGCCTCTCACCCCATCTATTCCACACCAAGACCACACTCACATGCAACAGAAAGGTCACACGATTCCGGGGTGGGGAGGGGGGAGAGAGAAGGGAGTGAGAAAGACGGAGGAAAAAAAGGTGGACGGGGGACGAAAGTCGCCCTAGAGCCAAGTCCGCCCAAAAGAAGGGAGAAGGAAGAAGTGACAGCGAGCCACGGAAGAAACCAGAAATTCCCACCTCCTCGGAGGTTGCCTTCCAAAATCCCTTCGGACCGTAAAAGATAGCCATAGTCAAATTCGTATCACCCACAATCGCCGCTCGGATAGTGTAAAAGGAGTCTGCCTGCCCGCCCGTCTGCTCCCCCTTCTCGGTCTCCCCCCACCCCCCACCCCAGCTGTCCTTTTGAGATAACTCGCAGATAAGGCGGTGAGCAGACAAGTATTTCAGACTCAGAAAAAGAGTCGAAGTTTGCCTGCGGGAGGCTCTGTCCTGGGAAAACCCAGCAGCAGCTACAGACATCGGGGAAGAAGGAAGAGAAGGACCCACCCGGAATCCTGGACGTAGCTTTCTGTTGGCGGGAGTGTGTTTGCTTCTCTCCCCCCCCCCCACCCCGCCCCCCAAGGGGTTGAGAGAACGGGAAAGGCCAGAAGGAGGGGACTGAAAAAAAGGAAAGGAGGGGGGTGGCAAAGGGAAGAAAAGGGGAGGGAATGGGGGACAGAGGGAGAAAAACGAACCAAACCTAGTGTGGTCGATTTGCATCGAGGCTGGTTGCAGTGGTGTTTAATCCCGGGAGCTAGGAGCTGGAACCGAGGAAAGCAAGCGAAGGAGAGACTCCCGGGTGTGCGTCGATGAGCTGCTCAAGTATAAAAAGGAGAGAGGAGGCGCCTCTCACAGCCCTGCCGGAAAATTGCAGCCTGCTGCTCCTGATTGGATTCACTGAGCCCTAAACAAACAGCGCTCGCCAGAAGGGTGCCAGCCAGCGGGCCCTCTCGGCTCACTCTGAGCGGCTAGGCTCTGGAGGTGAAGAGGAGGGAGAGAGGGAGGGGAGGGGAGGGAACCAAAGAGGAGGGGAGGGAACGAGTCAGGAGAGGAGGAGAAGGAGGGGGGAGGGGACGTGGGGGCAGGGGAGGCTGTGCGTGTTCTAGAGAAAGAGACTGAGCTTGGACAGAGCTTGTAGTGTGTAAGGAGAGCAGCCCGCGAAGCCCAGTCCTAGGACTAAGGCTAGTTCCACTAGGCCGAGTCCAAGGGTTCGGAGCTGGAATGGATGGCGAGGAGAGCGGGTCCCAAGCGCCTGAGGGGCACAGGTGGGAGGACTGAGATGCACAGCTAAAGTCTCTATGTCATAAGTGTTCCACAAGACCCACCTCAACCCTCACCACATAAGAGATACCCCCAAACTCACACGATCCCTTAAAAAAAGTTCCCCTTGGGTTCTTCCCAATTCGTCCCCGCAGAAACAAACATCTCACGTAGTGAAAGAGGGAGATAAATATCCCAAATAAAATATTTCGACTAAAAGAGAAAATCCGATTAGTCTCAGGTCCCTTCTCTCTTCACTCCCTCCACTCCCACAAATTAAACACTACAATGGGAGGGGGAGGTTGGTCTTGGGGACAGGCGAGTGGGGGGCGGGGAGTACGGTTGGTCTAAGTTTGTTTCCGACCTTAGACCTTTAGTACCCGCTTTCCCAGCTTCCAGGGATCGCTAGTCTTGTAGCTGTGGGTAATTTGGTTTCTAAAACAGCTACAGGATAATTCCACTGCTAAATTAACTAGCTCTCTCTTTCTCACTGTGTCTCATCTTAGTTTCTCTCCCTGTCTCCATCTCTCTCTCGGCTCTGACACTGTCTCTGTCTCAATCTTTCATCTGGCTCCGTGAAGTTCACGTCCGCCACTCCCTTGTTATTCCGATTCGCGCTAGTGGTGAACTTGTAAGTATAGGGGATCAGGTGAGCGAAAATGCTCCCATATTCAGACATAAATAATAACCACAAATTTTATCAGGTTTTATATACTCAATTTGGTCTTCTAAATATCCCTTTCCACGCCCACCCCCGCCCCACTCCAAATTCAGGTAAGTCTCTTCTGGCAGGTCTCGGTGAGAACTGAGTATTCATATTTTCTCTTTTCTTTTCTCTCTCCAAATGGTTATCACAACTGGGCACAAATCAACACGGTTCTTAGCAGGAAAAGTGACTGGGAATTAAAATAACTCGTTCCCCAGGGGTTATCAGCTGGATATCAGTCCGCATCAGTTTGTACAGAGAGAGACTCATCTGGCGGGAACTGTGTGAAGTCTGTCTCGCTCCCTCGAGCTAACAAACATCATTCCTTCCGATGGACGTGACCCAAAGACTGGGGACAGAGAATTTAACTGGGGTAGGACGTGCTGTGTTTTGAGGGTTGTTTTTTTTCTTTCCATTTTCCCCCCAGGTAAATAGAAGTAAAAGCATTTCTAATACGCGCTAGACCTGATTGCTTTTTTTCTGCATTCGGTTTCTCTGGTATTTCTCTTAGGCTCCTTAGTAGAGAGAACTGAGCAGGGGCAGGTAATTTTCAAATATTCTTGGGGGCTAAATGATCAATGTCAAATCTAAGCAGAAAATGTGTTTCCTTTCTAATAAAACTGAATTGTGAGCCCTATGGTTCACTGGTGGAGAGTGCGGGTGGTTAGAAGGGAAGGGAATGAGCTAGGGAGAATTTACCCTTCCCCCTTCCCCCTTCCGCCAGTTCTTCGTTGTAAATTTCTGTTAAACACTTAGGGATTTTTAAATCCTTACTGTGAAGATTCCTAGTTTTGCTTGCTTTCCTCCCTAGTTAAAGTCATGTATCTCAATTTCACTAAAGCCGCGTTTGGAAAGGAAGTTAAATGGAAAAGAGACTAAATATGAACGATTGAGTAGTTTTGTCTTTTTTTTTTTTAATTAATCCGCTTTTGATCGAGTGTAATTGTGAGGAGAAAGCAAGGCTTCTGCTCAATTGCTAAAATGAATGAGTTTTGAGCCGAGCATTACCTTAGAATTCTTTAGCAAGTAGTAATTAAATTAAAATCAGATTTGTTTGTTCTTAAGATGGTTCATTGTCAGAACTATTGCTGCTTTAGATATGTTTTCCTATTTGAATCCAAATGTTTTGTTAGTTTTTTTCCCATCAAAATTACTAACAGCCCCCACCCCATAAAATTAGTGACTTCTGAAAAGAAATAGTTATTTCACCGAAGCTAGTCCGAACGCACAAGTCCATCGAAGTCCCTAAGAGCTTTTCCTCATGTTTGTTACCTAGTCTAAGGATACCATCTAGAAATTTGCAATTATGAAGGTGTGGCGGGGCGGGGGGGGGGGGGGGGTTGAAGGGTTGGGCAACTTTTTTTTTTACAAAGTAACTGAATGCCTTTGACCAGCTCTTTACCGCGTCTCTCACCGGCTGTTAAGAGAAAGCTCTATCAAGCTCTGCCTAGGCTAGAAGTGAGGGGGAGAGAAACACTGGCCCTACAAATTTCAGTCTCTTATGGCTCTAGGGTGACCTGGTTTCATGCTCCAGACTCCCAAACTTTTTTATTTAAAAAAATTTTTTTTCTAAAACAGAGAAGAAAACTATATGTATAAGTCTCTGCTGAGCAACATATTTATTTTTCTGCTTTGGTTTCCAACCGGAGTTGACATTGGAACTGTACGGTTGCCCTGGTTATAAATGTCACAGAAAGTGAGATTAAAATAATAACAATAATAACAAGAAGTTTTAAATCAAACATTTAATTCCATTGGGTTGAAGGAGCACTCAGATTTGCTCCTTTTAACTGGCCCTTTTTCAGCTCTGAGGGGATTACTTCTATGGCAAAAAGCAGTACGTTTTCAAAGAAACCAAATCAGACTTGAGTCCTTTACTAAGAGATTCCCTGGCTTGGAGCGCCTGTGGACTGGCTTCTTTTCTTTCTTCCATTAAAATCATTTTTCGAAATAAGAAGGATGAAGAGATGTGGAAAGGAGGATCTCTTTTAAAGAAGAGGGGGAAAATTCAAGAGTTTGAGAGAACTAAAACAATTTTTTTTTTCAAAAGTAAACAGCCCTGGTATCTTATGAACCACTGTTCCTCTTTCGTTCCCGCCCCCCCCCCCTTTTTAAAGAGATGTTCATCTTAAGCCATTTCACTGGGTCAAATTTAAAACATTAAAAAAGACAGGAGTCTTCCATTTGATTAGCCGGAAGTGAGGGGGAAAGCCTGGTCCCTGTGATGATTTCATTAAAATAGTGAGTGGAGTGAATTTGGTTTCTCTGGGGTTTTCTCCCCTGTCAAGAGGTGTGATTTATTTTGGCAGAGTTGCATGCATTATGCTTAGTTTTAATTCAACCATAATACGTCAGTTAGTTGGGGGGGGGGGCCTTAGCGTCGTCATTACTTCAATTCTGTAGGCTGTGAGAGCTAGCTCAAAAGAAGATCAGCGTTATAACATACCCTTAACCCTACACGTTCAAGCCTATTATAATGTCATTTGACAAAGTTGATGGTTTTCTTTCAGGAAAAAAAAAGCCCTGAAATAATACAAATCTTCAATAGAAATGTTTTCCAACTTGAAGGTGTTTTTTTTAAAGCTCAGACTTGTGACACCTCCCCTCATCCACCATATTTCTTCTGACC